TTGGAAACATATTTTCAATTAATGGGTTGACGATTTTCATTGGGAATTTTGAATGATTCTTATAAACAATTTTTTTACATCTAGAGTTATTGACCAAACGGAGGTAAAAAATTAATATTTTTATAAATTCAATAAATTTTACCATGATATACCTGTATAACACAAAAACGAACAACAGAAACCTTATACAGGGTGATTCAAAATTCGCATCATTCATTTTAAGCGGTGATAGAGGCTTACTTGAAGAGTACGAGAAAAATATTTAACAAACATTTTCCAAAATTTCTAGAAGATATTAACAGTTGAAAATTGGATTTTAACTTGGTTATTAAGTATTATCTTGGAAAGGTCCTATATTTGAGAGGTAGCTTATTGAAATACCTAAGCATTTGAGAAGAAAAATTACCATATTTACTCAAATTACGAAAAATTTTCAAATTCAAAAAGTACTCTTGTACAATTTTTTTTTATGGAAAGTTAAAGCGGCAATGATGTCTTTGTCATTAACAGATAGTTACAGGTTACAGTACATTTTTAATTTTCCATAATTTTGGTACAGTGGCTTAAGCAACGCGCATAATTCGTAATATTTGATAAAATATTTACATTCCAATTATTTTACTTTGTAGAAAATGTGTATGTTCTTTGCACCGTACCTATTAGGTTTTTCTGTCCTAAGATTTCACAATCTGCATATATGCAAAATGTTTCGATCACAGATCACACGAGATTCTACAAAAAAATTTAGATTTTAATTTGAGTTGTTTTATTAATTCAGTAATAGTAAATGTTCATGAAGTAGGTTGTTAAGTTTACAGTCCTAGAAAGTGATTGTAAAGAACACGGTTCGAAGTATCTTTTTGATTTAAATGAATCAAAAACTGAAATTTTGTGCATATAAGCCATGATCATAAAGAGGCACTTTTAATGTATTCTTACTTTACTTAAGTACTTCTCATATTTGTAGTTCTCTATTCCTTGATTTACCAGGTGTTTAACTATTGCATCTTCATGATCATATCTTTTGTTCGAAAAGTTTTTGCTTTTGGTGCTCACCGAATTTGTAATGTCTGCATAGATGTGCCAAATCTCACACAGTCGATGATTGATGTGATTCCTAGAATAGTTTCTAAGAATTTTACGTTTTTCGAATTTGAATTCGAATTCAACGAAAGGATCGACAAAGCCTCAAAGCAAAAAAATGGAAAGGGCTTTTTCCAACAACGCGATGTTGAATCAAAGGCTTGAACGCGATATGAAATATTGATTTAAATATCCATTATTTGCAGTGAAGATGAAAGGAATCTCGTTTCGTTGTCTACATGTATGGGTTGCCGTTTTGTAAATATCACCAACGAATTCGCACCGACAACAAAAGTGATTTGAAAAGAGTACGGTTTCGGAGTTTTTATTTTGTACTGTCACAGAAGCTTTTAGCTTTTAATGAATTGTCCAATCCAGTAAGCGCTTCTAGATTCAAATTAAACCGTTATGATGAATACAATGTTGCTGTCAAGTTAATTCAAACTTCACTGTTGTGAGATTGATTAAAACTGTATAAAACGTGCTTTGTCGAGCATACTTTCAAATAAAGCCCGTTTTTCGTTTAAACGAGCAGGCAATTCGATATTTACCATGCATAGAACAATAATAAAGCGTCTATCTACTGACAGAAAATAGAAACAAATACCATTTATGAACCAACAACCAACGTAAACTATACAGGGTGGAAATTTGGCAATTTTCTTAATGGCTCCTACCTGCATCATTCCATTGAATGAGCAAAGCTAACGTGTCTCTACGAATCTCTAAAAGCTCCGCTTTTCATATTTCTATTTAGGAATAGAGTTTAAATTATCGCCTCTAAATCTTCCTTAGTTTGTGCCCGTTTGAGGATATATTAATGCAAATGAGCGTATACAGGATGTCGCAATAAGGATGGTAATCGGCTGTATCTTGGAAAGTACGTGTTGTAGAGTGATCGGGAAAAAAAATTGATAACAAACATGAGGAAAAGAATTGCTGGAAATTATTTTTAAATTTATCAGATGACCACTAGATGGCGTAATTGCGAACGGTACTTTAAAAAGTCGATTTTATACAGAAATTGTCCCTATAAGGGAAATATTTAGTAGTTTAGTCCAGTAAAAGATTTTAAAAAATCGTACTACTTTCCTTATGAACCTTTTATCTAACTTGCCAAATAAAGCGTGGGAGAGTCAAACCGCTTAATTCAAAGAAACCTGTAACTCCAAAACGGCTTGACCGATTTCAAAGTTTTTACTATCAATTGAAAGAATAATAAAACCTCTACAATATGTGATATAACAACAATCTTACTCATTTTCTAAAAATCCGCTGTTCGAAAAAAATCCTTGTTTTAATTTTTCACAAAAATTTGAAATAATGTTATCAAATTATTTTACACGCATTCGAAAGCAAAGGAAAAATGAACCAAACCGCAAAAACCGCATATCAAAATAGTTTCTGGAACCGATTTAATACYTGAAAATAATAAGGGTTGCCTAATYCAAATAATTAAAAAGTARGAATTKTCTCTATAAGTGAAACATCTAGTAAGTTTGAAAATAGTGGGGAAAATAAACCAGCAACAAAATGAAACAACATTTTTTCTTCCAAAGCCTACTTTAATTATTTGAATTAGGCAACCTTTATTATTTTCAAGTATTAAATCGATTCCAGAAATTATTTTAAGATGCTGTTTTTGCCGTTTAGCTCATTTTTTTCTGAGCTTGAAATTTTTGGRAAAAATTCATACAGAGAATTTTTTTCGATCACCGGATTTTTCGAAAATGATTAACGTTGCTTTTATATCACATATTGTAGAGTTTTTATTGCTCTTTCAATTGATAGTAAAAACTTTGAAATCGGCCAAGCCGTTGCAGAGTCACAGGTTTCTTTGGATTAAGCGGTTTGACTCTCCCCCCACACTCTATTTGACAAGTTAGGAAAAAAGTTCATAAAGAATCCCAGTATACAGGTATACATCCGTCCCAGGTATACATTCGGCGCATCCTTTTCACTTTTATAGTAAAAATTTCCCAACTTTTTTCCTCAAATTTTGATCTGAATCCTAAATAGCTTCAGCAGYTCGCTCATTATTCGGTTTAGAGCTAAAGTGAATACCRGCGTTTTTGTGGCGCTTGAGCKCCTCTAACTAGTGGCGGGMTCCGAATTTCCCTATTGTTCTTAGTTGTTGAGATATTAGTAATTTTTGAAGAACCGCTTTTTCGGAATTTTTGCCACAACTTTTCACGTGGCTGGCTGTAAAAGCTTACCACTAGATAGTACTAAGATAAGTATGTTACCCAGGAACCCCCGAGCATTTTACCAAGAATGTCATTTTTCGCTCAGAGGCTTCGTTTAGAAAGAAAAAATTAAAAACTGCTATTCGACGAAAATCTTGACTATTTGAAAAGATATGTTTCGCAACTAAAAATTCAAAATGGTTTTTTTTGGAAAATACTTCTGCCGATTTTGATTGTTTAAAACTGCAATGAAAGTCAGGCGAAAATTTGCACAATCTTCAGTCGGGCAATAAATGACCAGATTTCGAAAAATTCGTCAAATTTCCGTCGGAAGTCTAAAAAGTTCCAGTGGCGGGTTTATTAGACAATTTACAGGAAAAGTGAATACGAGCAGTGGTTTTGGATATTCTTATGTGCGATTTTTGAAAAAGAAAAAACGTTTTTAACATTTACTCGAAAACATATCATCGTAGTGTTTTGGAAAAATGACCAATAGATACCTTTAGGAATAGCGAATGTTTCATGAAGGGCAACTATTTTGTCCAGAGGCTCCATTCGGAGGGAACAAAATAAAAACTTAAAATCGACAAAAATCCTGACGGTTTTGTTCAGATAAATTTCCCAATCATATACAAATTTTAAATTTTCTTTTTGGAAAAAATTGCCGCCGATTTTTATTGTTCCACGCTCTGCAAGGAAAGCCAAGTGAAAATTTGCCAAAGATTCGGCCGATCAAGAAATGGACTTTGTTGAAATGTTCCCGAAATTTGGCCGTTATACTAAGAAACTGCAGTGGGCGGGTTTACGACACAGTGTAGAGGAAAACTGAGTACCAACTTTCTCATGCAGTTTGGTTGCCTCGATCCAGGGGAGTTGGCAGAAGTTGGCCATCGTCTTTAGTTTTGTAGATATTAGCGATTTCTGATAAATGCTTTTTGACATTTACTCGAAAACCATCCATTGCGGGGTTTTGGAAAAATTACCACAATATATTTTGCTTAGAGAAATCATTGAGAACGAAAAAATTCAAAACTCGCAGAAAATCCCGATTCAAAGACAAAAGTGACAACTTTTGCATTTTAGACTCCTATTTTTGATAGAGCTAATGTTTGTGAATTCCTCCTACCGTGAATACATAATTTCCAGCTTGTTATGCAGCTGATGTTGTTAATCTCTTATAGAAAAAGGTAAAATTGCAAACCATGCACTTACTGTATTACTGCTTTGGTTGTTTAATATTTTAATATGTGTTTTATTTCTTAATAATAAAATTAAAAATACTTATTGCTGTAAAGTTCAATTGTTAAAGTTTGCGAATCAGTTACTCGCTTGGATTAACTACCATCTCTCAGCCCTCTCAGTCAAGTCCGACTTACTAGAATTAGAATAATTAGGTAAAATAAAACTCTGGAATCATCATAATTCTAATTAATTTTCGTGCATTTTGTATGTATACCACTTAAACCTACAATGCGAACGTACGGGACCGCCTCGACATGAAAATATATGTGTATTATCTTTGAATAATGCAATTCCTGTTTGGGTAGCCACACAAAAGCATTATTCGTTAATATTGAAGGAGTCCTAAATGGCTTTACACGCGTTTGGGACAAAGGTCTAATCCAACACAATTTTGTTTTAGGATCAAACACTTTAGAGTTAATCAGAGTTTATATTCGCCTTATGCAAATGACCCACTGGTGTTTCGGTACACAATTTAGATATACATACCTTATCCTGGAAATATCACCTGACTCGCAATTCCAGGATAGTTCCATTATTCAAAATGCCCCAAATATTCCATACCAGGATCAAGTATCTGCAACAAAAACAAAAAGCCATTTATGACGTAAATCCGAACAGGCAACAATAAAAAATTACACGCGCCGCCAACCTTCAGTCCCTTCATTCAGAAGCTAAGCCAGCTAAATATAAAGTGATTTTCTGAAAACAATGAAACCATCAATCGAAAATCCTCTTCCAAACGACAAAAATAACAAGTTATACCGGCAGTTAAATTCGAAATGGAATAATTTAAAGTTAGAAAGTCTTGGTTTGAAACTGAATTTAATGCTGGGATTAAGCAAGGATAATTCGAACTTTGTTGCTGTTCAATAGTCCAAAGTTGTATTATGTCTGCTCGATAAGATTTTATTAAAGTATAGAAATATGTATTTTGATAAATTTAAAAAAATACATTTCATAGTATTGGAATGTGGAACATTTTGGAACATGTTGCAAATCAACTTGTTGATAGCCTTTATTTTGATACTCCAAGCGCCGATGTTTGGGCGGTTAAATGGTAAACCGAATCAAATGCAAACCTTAACGGACAGTTTTTCTTGTCGTATGTTATCCCCAAATCTTATGCCATGCCACTATTGAAATTTGTTTGAAGAACACATTGAGTATCAAAACCTTTGCATTTTTTCCTTTTAAACAAAGCTAGTAGGTTTCGTCCAAAGATATGAAGTTGAAACAAGCAGGCTTAGTTTCAAATATGCTTCATAAAATTGATCTTGGTGATAAATGTAATTCTTGATAATAAATAATACGATATTTACTAATTATCGAAAATTTAGTATATTCAAAGCTAAAGCCTGATTTTAAAATTACTGTTGCAACTGTGAAGGTGATTTTTTAACTGAATTTAACCTATGAATGTGATTTCAATTTGTGGTTGCCGATATAGCAGCGCCATAAGGTGATGGGCAATTGTGCGCCACTTGCAGAAACAATTGACAAACATTTGTATTTCATATTTTTTAATAAATAACCTTATTTACGTATACAAGGAAACATATTTTATATTTAAAGTACAAATGATTTTACGGATACTAAAAAATAACAGCCTCTGCAACTAGCAACTGGCTTCACATTTTGTAACCCTAGGTACTCTAAAAGTTCTAAAAACATTCTGGAAAAAAATAAAATACGAACAAAAGAACTGTTGTTTTACGGAGAACGAATAGCGATTGTAGCTCTTAATTCTTTGTGAACAAGCTATATTTCATTTTAATTTTTGATCTGAAAAAAAGCTTCATTTGAGTGACAATAGGTGTTCATAAATAGTAGCATTTCGATTTTGGTGGCGCTAAGGCAATTTCCATTCGTTAAAATTATCTAAAAAAGAACCTAAAAATATCAAGAAAATCGAGGCTCACGGGAATCTGTAAATGCAAGCTTTCATTAGCAAACAAAATAATTTGATTTGGACTCGTTCTGTCGTTGTCGTCCACATGTGCAAGTGTAGTGGCCACATGTGTAGTGACATAGTGATCACACTACACGCAACTCTTAACGAAAATATAAGTGGCTCTTTAATATCAAAGTTTATTTTTACGTTCGTGATAGATTGTGATTGCGATTTATTAATCGCTGTGAAATCGCAGGAAGTGATTTGTTGATCAACTCTAATTCAAATTGTATATACAATTTTTTGAAAAATTTACGGATTCTGTATCCTCAATATGATATAATTCCAAGGAGGAATATTCCAAGCCTTTTTACATCAAAATTCACAGCTTTCTGGTCGCGGCTTAAGCTTCCATTTCTTGAGATTGCCCCAACGATTTCTTCAATCAAAGGGTAATTTGTATGTGCTCGTTGTCTTGTGCATTTATTGAGAGATAAACATGAAATGTGGATGTTTTTTGTTTTTAATATTGTTATTGAAGAGTTACAATTGCGTCTCGCAACATCGATTTCTTAAAATTCAAGATACTAGCTGAAATACAAACAAACACTTAGCTATCAAACGATTAGTCGTTAACCATTAACATTTTTTTCATGTGCAACGTATACCCAGTATTAATTGCTTCTTTGCTTAAACTTGATTTAATATTTTGTATAATATTTGGTATATGCACTTTTCTGCAATATTCCTTTCTTCCACCTGTCTGACAGCTGTATTATATCATATGTCCTCTTGTTGAAAATTACTTGCAGAATACTTTCAATTAGGAAATATTTTTTTACAAACTTCTTTTTGGGTATTTCGCCTCAAAAAAGACAGAATTTCCTCACGTCTGTTATTACAGATTGATAAATAGTGCTCCCATTTCGCAATAAGAACGAATTATTTATCAAAAAGTAATGAAGAACTATCATCTAGAGGGTATCCTGCGACACAATTACTAGAGAAATTAATTTGAAAAATTACCTTGACGTTTCGATAGCTATTTTCTGCTATCGTTATCAATATTCATTTAGGTTCTTTTGATAACGATAGC